AGATCGTATACTTTTGGCGGTCGATAATAACGATTAGTAATAATGGGCAAAAGAAAAAAAAAAAAAAAAAAAAAGAACAAAAACGATTTCACCTTGTCGCTGCTAATGCTAACGGTGTATATTATTATTTGTAACTAGTAATCGTGAATAGAAATGAAGTTTGAGTAGAAGAAAAAAAGAAAAACCATCGCCAACAAAAAACGACTCTGTGTTAGGACGACGTTCCGTCTTTGTCTAACGCGCGCGGTACAGACGTTTTTTCGTTCTAACGTACCGCGATCGGTCTAGTGGAGCGGTACAAATACTGAAAACGGATCTGAATTATTTGTCGTCCACTTGAGATCGACTTTCCCGCATTTTTCCCCCAAAACATTTTGTGTTCCATTTGTCCCCTAGTATTAAAACATATAATAGTTGACGAAAAATTAAATCACTTTTCCAGAATGCTTCATATGATCGATCGGTAAGTTATTGGAAATATAATTATTACCTAAATTTATAAAAGTGTAAGCAAATCGTGGATATTGCGTATTGAGTTTTCAATATACATACAGGGTATCCCACGAAGATGTACTCAGATGCGGGAAACCTAAAGTATAGTTTCAAAACCGAGTTCATATTGTATACAGAGGTTATTAATCGTAATAATCATCATCTAGAAATTGATATGAATTTTACTATTCCTTTTCCCTATTTCTCCGGTTTAAATGTTAAACTATCGTTAAAACTCGTAATAAATGGGTATACACAGCATGCGATTATGAAGTATAGAACTATTGTATAAAATACGAGAAAATAAAATAGGTACATTCTTTATTCAAATCCTTGTTTCAGTGGCGCCGAATCTTGTGTTAAGGTCGGGCCTCGGCCACGCGTTTTTTTTTTTTTTAAATCTAAGCTTAGGGCCGCTTTATTTTGGGCCGAAATTGCCGGGTTGCCGAATTGAGTTTGTATTTGAAAATAAAAAGTTTCAACTAATTTACGATACATAAAATACGCGGGTATATAAGATTAAAAAAAAGAGAAATTAAATTCGTTTAAAATACTTCGAGAAAATCGTCGGTTCGTGAGGTTCGCTCTGTATTTATTATTACCGGTATATTGTTTGAACGTACGCGGCTATACATTAACTATACGCGTACACAGATGATGACATAATTTCTTACGAAAAAGAAAAAAAAAAAAAAAACCATCGTACGATTCGCCGCATTTATCGCTCCGGAACTACTTATCGCCGGCGAGATTCACGGCGGCGCGGCGGCGACGGTTATTTTTACGCGGGCGGTCCTCTTAAAAATGCGGAGACATGATGATACGTTTTTGTGCGCTGTATACAAGCTGTGCCGAGTACCGGATGTAAGTTTTTTTTTTTTCCACTAAAAAAATTTGTACCGTATATGCGCTACCGCGTACCGTCAACTATACGCGTCAACTATGTGTATTATATGTATACGCATATCATTATTATAGTGACAATCGGGGTAAAGGAAAAAAAATACGAAAAAAAACAGCGAAAAAAATAAACCGAATAGATTATAAATTGTGTGTGTGTGTGTGTGTGTGTGTGTGCGCGTACGCGTTTATCAGGTGTTCTACGTACATTTCATATACGGACGCGGAGCGATTGTTTTCGGTCCCCAATGATAATGTGTACCCCGTTCGATACGATAGCCCGTTCGGTTACGTTCGTGAAAATGTGCAAAGATGAACGCGAAATATTCGCGTAAATCGGCTTCCCCCCCCCACCCACCCTACCCGTATAGTTTTTCGTTGTCGGCGCGGTGGCGCCTGCGGCGGTTTACACAAGCGTTACGTGTAATAATAATTTGTTGGCCAAAAAGAAAGTACGGTTTTTCGTTAATTAATGATTGTATATATACCACGGTTAGATGGCCCGTCTCACCACTGAGATGATAACCTCTTACCGGTGTAGACGGAGTACTATTAAGAGCCAAGTTTGTATACATTTCAAAAAATCATACTTATAAACTATACTTCAAAAACAATAAATAGACATACGTATAGAGCTAATTATTAATTAGAACTGTAGTTACTAAAGTATAAATTGGCATTAAATAAATTTAATATAATAGAGTGCGTAAAAAATCGAACAGACAAATAAATAGATAAAGGGATACAGAGACTGCGTTATATAGGTAAGCCGGTGTATTACCGAGGGTATGGATCGCTAGTATTATTTAACAACCATAATCTAACAGTGTGTTTAGATGTTTTTAAAGTCAATGATTTGCAGCGGAATGCCGTTTAAGAATCTCAAACCCGCTCGCGAAAAATATTGCCGTCGATTTGCCGTAACGCGTGTTATCTAACGGATTCTCGTCGACTCGGTTACGCCGCGCGATAAACGACGAGCGGCGCGTCAATCGTGCAATGGCGATCGTTGGCCGAAAAGTCAACGCCGGTACACGTACGAGAAAGAAAACCGAACCGAAACGTCAACACCGAGTCGCGGGGGGTGCTGTACGCCCGCTTCCCGCGGTACTTGCCGCCTACAACGGCGTAGCCCGTCGTCCTCAATACGATACGCGAGGTGTTTCCCGCCCCCCCGCCCCCCCGCGGTCCTTGAATTATGAAAATCAATTCGATCCGGGATTTTCGCGTTCGTTTACATCGCGCGCACGCGCGGAGCGGCGTCCGAAAGTACCGTCGAATTCGAATGGCGCGGCGCCGTCGTCCCGGAGTTCGTTGTTCTGGTCCGGTTTTCATCGGTTTTTATCGACCGGCCGTCTTCCGGTTAGAAACACCGGCGTTCTCGTTCGTTCGTTTATTATTTACGTTCGTGTCGGGTCACGGAGCGACGTACTGTTGCCCTGCGCGTCCGAAACGGTTGAAATCCATTATAAACGCCGCGAGTGTTTTGCAGACCCCGCGCGTTGTCCGGCGGCCGAGACAATGTCAACAAATTTAACAGACCGGTACGGCTGTTGACTGTCGGACGACGGGTCTGACGCGACAAGAAACGGACGTTGCCCTCGTTCCGGCCGATTCGAGACGAACGCGAAAACCGCGAGCGATTACGATTTCGACCGCGTGTCGTAATAACATTACGCGTCTGTGACACGAGTCCGACGGAACCGACCAATCGGCGGCGTCCGCGCGTTTTGACGGAATTGATCGGTGAAAGATTTACATTTGCGTGCGCGTATACGATTACGTTTGGCCGGTATTCAAGAACAGAAGTCTCCGCGGATCTCCGCGTTTGAGAGTATGTCGAACGGATTTTAGGCCGACGATTTGAACAGACGGTTATTATTGACGGAGAAGTCTGTGCAGAAGAGCAACGGCACGCTTTAACGAGGGCGAAGTTCAAGTTCCACGTTTTCCGGACAATATTGTTTCTCGTTGTTCGTCGATCGGGGGGAACTAACGTCATACGACGGCGTTTATATATATTATATTTTAATCACGTTTTTTTTTTTTTTTAATTCGTTTTTAATTTATATTTTATCCATTAACGTCGAGCGTCGGTTCAATTAGTAAACGACGTATTATAATTTCGCCCTGTATACTATCGGGTATATTAACCAATAACAGACAATAAACGATAACCGTACGCGGCAAAAAAAAACTATTACACAATTGACGGTATTGTTTTAACCCGGTAGTTTTAACGTCCGAACGTGCACGGGTGGCGTTTTATTGGCGAGGGAACGCGACGGGCACGCGGTTTCTGACGCGGTAAAAAAGGAACGCGGAATTCAGCGCTGTGTACATTTTCAGGCGCGTCCGATACGGGACGGGAACGGGAGACGCGAACTCGTCCACGGCGCTACGGATTACCGTCGTATATTTGAATCGCGCGTTGCTCTTTTGATCAGCGGCGCGTATAAACCGCGTTCGCCTACGAAGCCGAGACTTTTCGTATCGCGCGACGCCTAACCGTACACGCCGCTCGATTCGTTCGACTACCCGAATCCGTACGCGACGACGTGCGCGTGCGTTATTGCGACGCGGTGAAATTGCGTTAACTTCCCGTACGCAAACGGAAAATCGCAACACGCGTCGCGGACGGTCGCTTCCCGAAAACATCGTTTTTCGCGCCGCGGTGCGGTTTTCGGTAATAGGTTTTTTGTTTTTTTTTTTCATTGCGTATTTCGAGTCGCGCACATTGATTGCGCAACAATCGTTACCTAATATTATCCGCGGAGCGTTTGAGATTCCCGAAGAAACGCCCGCGTCGTACGCGCGTCTCGACCGATTGTTAATTCGTAACGCGAACGCAGCAGCGCATAGTCGCCTCCCCCCCCCCACCCCCCGCCGCACACGGACGCTGGAATATGTAAAACTATTCGAGCGCGCAGATTTTTTCATTATCATTGTTATTATTGTTCGTCGTGTGCCGGTCGCGCGCGTGTCGTCGAGACGTCGATAATAACAACGCGTACGCGCACGCCGGTGATAATAACAGGGGCGGGGGCGACGGCGGCGGAGGCGGCGGGGGGGGTTGAAACACCCAACAATTACAGTCCGCCGATATTACCGTACGCACGCATACGGTACACGCATCGCATAATACGGGTAATGATAACGTTATCATTATCATAACGCGGGCGATTATTTCGATGAAATTACGGCGTCGAAACGCACTCGGACAATACTGTCATATATATAACGATTAACGGCCCTGACCAAGAGATTAGGTTTTTTTTAATTTTTTTTTTTTTTATTGCGCTATTGTTTTTTTTTTTTTTTTTTTACCTATATTCTCGCGCGTATATATTATGACGTATACGTATTTCTCTCTCTCTCTCTCTCTCTCGTCTCTCGTCTCCCGCATTTCCATTGTCTCTGCGCGTGGTCATTGAGATCGCCCCTCATTGTACCCGTGTAGTAGGTACCTATGCGTATAATATTACACTATAGTTGCACCGGTTTGGACTCGGGCCTCTAACGCGTCATTGGCGGTCGTATCGTATCGTACATGCGTATTATGATAATGTACGATAGTTTTATAGTAGGTTTTTTTTTTTTTTTTTCGTACCCGCGGTGTTACAATACGTCCTGTAGCGTTTTATTTTTTTTTTTCGCCAACTCATCGTTTTCGTGCGGCGTGTCTGACGAAACCCAATTAAAAGCGGCGGCGGCGGCGGCCGCGGCCGCGGCGCGCGTGCGCGTAAAAAACCTACGGCATATAATACACGCGGACCGCGGTCGTCGGATAATATTGGTTATTATTCGTTAATATTGCCGAGCGTCGTCGTCACGACAATATTACTAATGTTGGGCCGAGCATTAACGAGTTGATGCGTTAAAAAGTCAAGTCAATTCGACTTTTTAACTTGTAAAATGCATTTATTATTATTATTTTTTTTTTCTATTATAACTATTAATTGACCAACTATACAAGACTCAACTCTTGCTGGAGTTAGTTTTATATTTGAACAAGTCGAGTTGAATTCAATTCTTATTTGTATGCTCGTAAAAATAAACATATTATGAACATTTTGAAATACGAATTGTTAGCAACACCTGTTATTTTTTATTTAGGCTGTTAGGTAATAGACAATTAACTCGAGTTAAAAAGTTAGTTTTAACTTTTAACATAGTTGTAGTGAACATATTGTATTATTTTGAATTGACTTTTAATTATTTACATCATTTACATTCAAATTCAACTTAATTTAACCGAATCGAAAAAAAAACATTGACTTGCCCGGCCTTGATTATTATCATATTTCTGTGCGCGAGTCCATTCGGAATATCGGTTTGTTTCGTCGTACGATTGACAAAAAATAACAAGAGACGATTTTCATAAAAAGATCTTAATAACAATGAATTAAAATAATTATACACAGTTGTATAATATGATCGTAAACTTGTCAATAAACTTGTTCGAACGATTATTATTCTAATTTTATATATATATAATTATATAGCATTTTCGCTCGATCCGGTGTTTTTTTTTGTTTTTTACGTCCCGTTAAATCTATAGCAGAAACGCATGTTATCTGACGACAAGTTCAAATGTGAAATACGAAAAAAAAACATGAAATTTTTAAGATTCTGCGCGATGGATATTATTTAGTTTTTATTGTCACACGAGTTCTCTCGGTGAATACATTGTTTTACCCATAATTGTTGTTGTGAATATAGAATATTCTTCGCACGTGAAAAAATGCTGAAAATATTTTATAGGAGATTCGAACGTTATTGAGAACGACAATATTCTTCACGAATAATGTTCAAGAATAAACAAACACTCTTCCCCCTCCCCCCCCAAAAAAAATTAAAATATAAACAATATTTTAGTATTCGGTTTTTATTAAACAATGTTAGTAAATATTTATTATTAATTATATAATTTAATATATTACATTGCATAATAATATAAAAATTACATTACGATTACGATATTTTTGAATAGTTCAATTACATTTCGATTCTAATACGAATAAGCAAAAAATTAAAATTAAAAATGCTCTCGTTTCGAGAATATTTTCTAAAAGATTAGTTTTGCACATTTTACAATAATAATTTTACCTATACCTATGGTCGTTTATCGTTTTTTCGTCCCACTTTACATACAAGCCAAAATGTGTTTTATACATTTTTTATTTTCATCAACCGTTTTTTTACAATATTGTAAGTGTATACAATATGTGTTTTTGTTAGATCCTCGCGTATTAATTAAAAAAAAAAAAATTCGATGCACTTAAGATTCGAATTGTTATTATTAAAAGTTGTGGTTATTATAATAATATTGTAATTTTATCAAAATAGTATTGCTCGGTTCAGTGACGGTTTTTCAAAATTGTCTTGGTGGGGACCTGAAAAATCATAAGTATTTCAAAGGTATCTATTGATAAATGGTCCTTTTTTTAAACGACATTCATTGAAATTTTAACGGTAACTAGAAGAGGTCCAGATCCCCCAAATAGGTCACTGTTTATATCCCCTCCTCTCCATAAAAAAAGAAACACAAGTGAATGCAAAATTAATTAATTATCTTCTAGTTTTTACTATACCAAGGTATAATTACATATAAACGTTTTATGAAAACATTATTATAACGTATCTTATCATATAGGTCAGTGGTTTTTTAACTTATTGACACTACTAGACCACTTATAGAATTGTCGATAGTTCTCGGATCACTACGATTTGCTGATGAATAACTTTTTTACTTATAAAATAAATTTTGACGAATTTTCGTTTTGTAACTTAATGCCATCTTCCTGGATGTCTTCAGTTATCTACTTTTACAATAAAAGGGTTTTGAATCATACTTCGGGTACCCACTGGCAGTACCGAGCCTAGCGCCCGATGCCAACAAAATTTACCAAAACAAAAAGCCATTACAATCTTTCATGCTAAACCTGTTCGTTGGCATTCACTCATACGTTTAGAGTAAAACATTCAATTATATAAAACTTTTAACATTTTGATTGGCTCCTCTCTGGTCTCTGTTTAGCGCAGCCGTGGTCATAGTACCTGGTGCACCTCTCGCACGGCTCTGCCTGTCGGTTTTAAATGATCACATTCTGGGGGGAAATATAGTTCAAATTTGTCTTTAAATTTTTTTTAATGATGTAAAACGTTGGATCTCAATAATTGTGAGGTTAGACGTGTCCGACGTCAAGAGGGTCCATACCCCTGATCCCCCTCCCCTCTATGAAACCGTCACTGATTCGATCTTGTTTTTTATATAAGTGATTTTGTAGATTTAAAACGAATGTAAATAATAAAAAAAACAAAAAAAAATTATAATATAGAATCGTTTGTCTTTGATTTAAAGTTATATTATTATTTTAAATATGCGTACATTATAGTATAGGTAGGCAATCGAATAAATCAAGATGATAATCGGATATTTTGTTTTTTTTTATTGTTTATACGGTCGATATTTCATTTTCATGAACCACGACGATAATGTCATGACAATATATTTCGGTTAGATTTTGATATAATAATGATAATGCAATATAACAACAACATAAATATTATGATTACGTATCCCGCCGTATGCCCGTATGTTATAGATTTTATTGAACGTCCACGGATATTTCAAAAGTAACATTATCATTATTAGATATGTATAGCAGTTACGTTGTTTAGTCGTGTGGAAAATAAGTGCTCGTACAGTATATTCCGCAATACAAGCGAATCGGATTTCGAAAAATTGCCAAACGACGTAATGGGATAATACGTTTGCATATCTATGAATACGGTCTAATCCAAATACGGTGCGGAAGACCTGAACAATTTTATAATCCATTTTCGAAAACAATTAAATCTGTCAAATTATTGTTATTGATTTACGGACTATCTCGCACCAATCTATAATAACCGT